CCTTGTGCTGTGGCTTCTCTACGCTCCAGTGCAATCTTCAGAGTTTCTTCTGACATCCATTTTGGTCTTTTCTTCCTCTTCTGTCTTTGTAATGACTATATGCAAGTGGCCTAAATATTAACAAATGCTTTAAAACAGCAATAAAGGGGATATAGTAAAAAAAGGGGATCATGTGTCTGGGGATTTTTTTTCTTTTAGTAGGACAGGAAAGAATAGAAAAAAAGGAACCAGAAATTGACTTTTAAAAAACTAGCCATGTATTTTATATCTATCAACAAAATAATATGTTCAAACTCATAACTGATATATTCCTTGGGACTTTAAAATTACTCATATAAACCAAATATTCATGAATCTATGATTCCATGTCATGATCTTGCAAATACATACCAAGGAAACAACAGTGCATGTAAACTCCAAAATCAATCTCCACAATAGTCTACATGTTTCCTATTGTCAAAGGGGCCCATTAGAGTAGTGAGAGAAGATCTTCACCCTGAAATCTACAGCGTCCCTTTTCCAGCAGGAAGATGCAACAGGTTCAAATTGTCTTCCTGTCAAACATTCTTCTAGGTGGTATAGCACTGGTCTGTGCGTTACTGTACAGAGGTAACTCGTGGTTGCTGTGATGCTGAAGCCTGTGACAGTGATGTGCCAATCTTGGTAATGGGCACCCATGGTGGACAGTGTTGGCTGGAGCTTCCCGATTAAATCAAGCCTGGAAGCAGGAGCGGCATCCACTTCCAAAATGGCTTGCTTCTGGAAACTCTACGTACGAACAGTGCTCAGGCTGTTCATTCATAGGGTCGCTATGAGTCGTCTATGACTCGACGGCATTAAACAACAACAACAACATCCTCTCTAACAATCTCCACTGTAATTCAGAGTACTCATTAGGTGGTAAAGATAAGTTTCAGGATAATTAGATATTTAAATTACTTTTATCATCACTACAGACAAAAAGGAACTATGGATAGTTTCTGGTTTCACAAGCATTTATTTTACATTCTCATCATCCCTCCCACTACCATGCATTGCTTTCCTCTCTATCGCTCTAGCATCTATATTTCTTTCACATTTCTGTCTCTCAGTCACCACTTGCTCAAACTTGGGAGGGAGTATTTGGAGTTGGGCAGTGAAATAAAAAGAGAATCACAGTATTTACACAAGAGTATGGACCAATGTAGAAGAAAAAGCAGCAACATGGAAAATCTATGGCAAAAAAACTTTTCCTATTGTCAGACATTAGGAAATTAAAAAAACTATGGAAGTGTTAACAGTATCAGGTAAAAATAGTTTTGCTAGTTCTAGAACACTTCAGTAAGTGAACTATTTTCCAAAATGCTTTTCTGAAGACACTCTTATAGACAAAAGTTATAAAAAGTAGATGGAAAAACCTCAAGAAATTTAACACAAAGCTAGCCTATCCTATTCCAAACAAAAATTTCCAATAAAATAGATCTTCTCCACTTCGCTTGGCTTAGAAGAAAAAAAATGTTAAAACAAAAATAGAGGGAAAGTAAAAGTCACAAAATAGCTAGTATTTTACGTTGTTCAGCATATTATAATACTCCAATACTTAGAGAATTAAGTATCGCCCTCATGATAGGATTCCTTATCCTGCAAAAGGAATAATCAGTTCTTAGCTGTTTCATTCTAAGTTTTGGGCATGAATTACATTGTATTGTCATAAAGTCATTACATACCTTAAAAATGCACCTTAAATATCTGAAAGTACTGTTAAAAATGCATAGACTAAGGTGATTTTAAAAGTACATTTGAAAACTTAGTACCAATTATACAAACATTTACAAATTATAGAAAGTTGACTTATAGATCTTAAAATTGTTTTAATAATGTTAGAAATAAGTATAAATTAGAGAAAAATATAATCTAATTATAGACTGAGAAGAACTGGGTAAATTGTTTATAATGCACTGAAACAGATGAGGGAGAGAATAATTTAAAAG